GCAGGGGCCGGCAGGGGCGCGTCAGCAAGGGCCGGCAGGGGCGCGCCAGTAGGGGCGCGTCAGCAGGGGCCGGCAGGGGCCGGCAGGGACTCGCCAGCAGGGGCCGGTAGGGGCGCGCCAGTAGGGGCGCGTCAGCAGGGGCACGGAAGGGGCGCGCCAGTAGGGGCCGGCAGGGGCTACGGCAGCTGCTGAAGGGGCCGCGAAGGGCCGCAAAGGGGGGGCCGCGAAGGGCCGCGAAGGGCCACGAAAGGGCCGCAAGGGGCCGCGACGGGCCGCAAGAGGGGCCGCGAAGGGCCGCGAAGGGGGGCCGCGAAGGGGGGCCGCGAAGGGCCGCGAAGGGCCGTGAAGGGGCCGCAAGGGGCCGCGAAGGGCCGCGAAGGGCCGCGAAGGGCCGCAAGGGGGCCTCGAAGGGGCCGCAAAGGGGGGCCGTGAGGGGCGCGACGAGGAGCCCTAAGGGCAGAGCGCGCAGGGCGCAGCTAAGAACAGTGCGAAGCGCGCTTCGGGCAGGTAAGGAAAAAAAAGTCGTAGTGGTGGGCCCTTAAAAAAAAACGGTCCCAGTAGGGAACCCGCTCTATACCATGTGAGAATAGTGAGAGGAATGAATGAACTAGAAAGCAGATGGGTACAAGTAGAAAACACAAAAGTGTTGTACCCTCTAAGAACTACCTCACTACGGCCTAAACAGACTATAGCATATATAAGTTTGACAATAGGCGTATTGAGTTCATCGTTGAAGCCATTGTGAATACGGTCTTCGGCGTCAGGATCGTAGACGGTAGAAACTGTCGTCATACAATTAATGACTTGTTTTGCCTGTGTCTTGATAGGTGTAACAGGAGGCTTCGCAGAATTCGGCTTCGCAGTGTTCGGCTTCGCAGAGTCACCTGAAGAATCTTTGGTGTGTGTCGGCCCAGACCGTTTCCAAGGCTGCTTATCCTTCGACCAGCAGGTATCGATGGTATGACCTGCTTTACGGCAAAAGGAACACATGGGCTTGTGACGTGGAGTAGAATAAAAACTGACTGTGTTACTAACCACCTTTTTCCCTCCTCGAGCGTTGTGCAGGTCCATATCCTGCTGCTCGGCGATGAGAGCAGCACAGAGTGCCCCCTCAGACAACGTCGCCTGCATCCGAAGAATGGAGCGACACTGCCGCCATTCTGGTCCAAGGCCCGCGAGTAGCACCGTGTGAAACATAGCGTTGGGGAAGTATCCTCTACACTTCTGAAGCTGGTCGCGCAGATTTCGAGCGCGGTTGATATACTGCGTCACCTTCTCGCCGTTTATCATCTGTATTGTTGACAGCTGTGTTAAGATTTTGCTCTGGTTGACGGTGTCCTTTGTCATGTAAACCCCCTGCAGGTATGACCAAGCTGCTTCAGCAGGAGCGATACTGGTACGAAAGGAACGGATACCAAGCTGTTCAGTCGGCGTCATATTGTGAACGAGAACTGTGTATGCGGTTAGCGACGCCGATAGGAAAGCGGCATGTTGAAGGGGTGAGCCGTGAGATGGGAAGGGTGATGTACCGTCGAACAAGTGCCAGAATCCTGCAGTTTGAACAAGAAGTTCGAATTCGAAACTCCAGGTATAAAAATCTTGACCGTTGAATGGCACTGTCGTCTTAACCTTTGTTGGGTTTGCAGAAGTAGGAAGATAACTTCCGGTGCCGTCGGCTGACTGTAACTGATAAAGCGACGGCATCTGAGATCCTTGCGATGCTTGCTATCCTTGTCCACCAGGAACAAAGGAGAAGGAGCTGTTTGACCCGACGCTCCCCTGTGGTGATTCTCCACGCTGATAACTGGAGCCATCAAGGCTCATAGCACCGGGAAACATCTGGTTGAGTGACGAAACGGCAGCATTGACGCGCTGCTGAAGATTAGTCGGTTGGTAAGCCCCTTGATATTGATATGGTCCAGTCGGTACGAAGCCAGACTGTTGTCCTGGTTGATTAGTAGAACCAGTTACTGCAGCTGCAGCTGTTGTGGCTGCTGATGCTGCTGTTGCTGCGGCTGCTACCGCTGATGCCGCTGCTGCGGCTAGGTGTACGGTCTGATTGCTCAGTGGCATGCCGTACATCGGTTGTTGTTGATATTGTTGTTGCTGATGTTGCTGCAGATTAGAATTGTCAGCAGCTGGAGACGCTGTTGGGTGTGATGGGCTCGTAACAGAAGACCTGTCGTCGGATCGTGGAGAGCCAGACATAGTTGCAGAGTATGTAGTTGGAAGCTGGTGTAATCCTAAGACGCTCGCAATACCATGTTAGAATTTGAAATGACTGAACAGGATCGTATATTTAGGATGGTAGCTTCCTGTTGCATTGGAAGTCTTTGTATGTGTTAAAGCCAATGTAGGAGGCTTTGTCTGGGCTAGTATATAAAGCCCATGTAGTGACACGTTTCAGGATCAATGTCTCTGAAATCAAGTATATAAAAAAATGACAAACACATAGAATATATATCTAGAGTAAAGTACCTATTCGCCTAATGTACTGTGCTATTCACGCTATTCCTGTTCTGAAACGGTACGTGACTATTCGCGAGGCCTACAGCTACTTGCTGACGTCATCCTAGGGCGCGTCGCGCCTTGCTGACGTCAGCCTATCGGAACTTTACTATTACGTGCGAAGTCTCGCACTGTACTAACTGTACTACACGAATTCCTTGAAGTGCTGAAGTCTTGATATTATCTCAACAGCGGAAGCATATAGTAATATTGTTGAACCACCTTGCACTAGTGTGTGAGAGCAAGATGAATTGTTTAAAGCAAAGAGATACAATGATATATATACGATTACAAGGAATACGAAGAGGTGCGGTTAACTGTTTTACTGTTGCGGTTCGATACAGTAGTGACTCGGGCAACTGCTCAATACCGAGTCAGTTTGTCCTTGCTGTCGCGCTGTATTTTCGTCGAGTCAAAGGTCGCTGACCTTTGACCTTCGCGTAACCTCTAGCTGTTACGTTTGTTGACTCGCGTGTTGCTTCACTGTAGTCTGCTTCGATCGCGTTATTGCTTCGATACTTCAGAAGCTTTAAATTACTTGTTTCCAACAGTATTAATATATGTACGGATATTTATAAATGGTTGAAATAAAGCTGTTTAGCAAGTTTTATGCTAGTACATGATAGCAAACAATAAGATTTGGTTTCTGAGTATTTATATTTGTGTTGGTTCATATATGGAATAATTCTGTAGATTGCATTCATGATAAACTAAAGCAAATATATATTTGAAGCATGTTGCGGGAAAACAGCCTTTCTTGGGTGGCGCTCAGGCCTGTCGAAGTTTCTGGGACCAAAACTTTGAGTCATGAGCTGCTCGAATTCTGGCCCCCAGCTGGTTGGGTGATCTCCATTAACTGCCACAGGCCCCCAGCTGGTTGGGTTTCTCGCAGATTCGCCATAACAAGAAGCGACACGTGCGACCGTGAATGTGTTCGGTGGTTGTAAAGCTGGGGAGAAACTCTGACCTGAGCCCATGTAATGCCAAGGTTGTGTCCCAAACATCTTTTTCTGTACTCGGGACGTGTCCATTGATCCGCACCCCCGCTTTTGCCTTCCATAATGCAGTCATTCCATCACTACCGTATTGAAACTTTGCAATTTTTAGTCGACCCTACTCGACCTCAACTGACCTCGTGATTTCCAACTCTTAGGTGGAAGGATGGATGCAAAATTTTGACACATCTATCGAGTCTCCCGCCGATGATTCACAATTCACTATCTATTCATGGGTGCCCGTAAGAACAGTTCCACTATAGATGGCCACACCGAACCTGCTCGGGTTCGTCGGCCAGCTCTAAACGCGACCTCAGAGCTAGCTGAATCTGGTTTGGGCTCTGTACCAGGGCTCTCGGTATCAGGGATAACATCCTGAAACTCAGGTCCGTATGTTTTGTTGGTGAACCCTGATTCATCAGGATTGGTCTAGAAATCATCCGGAACTTTTCCGGATGATTTGGCCGAGCATTCGAGAACTTCCGTATTGTTTTGAGAACAATCATGAGATTTTAGCTCGGTACTAGTTTTTATGTGGGATGTCGAATGCAACGATGCCTATAAGTGCTGTCAGACATGATGTAAGTGTTAGATTTGTTAGTCCTTGCCCAACCAACTTGGAATTTTTAGAGCCTCTTGCGCCTAGGGTGATGAACTGCAGTTGTGCATTTTCGGATTTTGGGAAAAAACACACGGAGGCGGAAGGGAAACGTTCGAGGGAATGCTGATTATTCAGGGTCTTTTCTCAGGCGAGCCCGGAGCCTTCCATGCCTTCAAAAATGAAAGATTTGCCCTGCTCTGTACTGCAGGGTGATTCTCCTTTGGTCCAGACCGTCCGAGCTGGGCAGGAATCAAACGAGATTGTACAGTAGGTGCAGATCATTGCGTGTGGATGCGTCGGCATGTCATGGTCGTTTGTTCCTAGTGGAAAATTCATGTGACGTGCCCAAAGCTATGAGCAAGCTTGCGTGTCCAGCCAATGAAGGGGTTCACAATGCCACCTTCAAAGAACAATCAAACCCCTTCGCTTCGGGCTGGGCTGGGTGGTAGGAACTGTGCACAGCAAAGACGAAGGCTTGGGTATTAGGAACTGTGCGTTGAGTAGATGGCGGCTTCCATTGCACGGTCTTTAGAGTGCGAATCCTAGCGGAATATTTTATACACTGTACTTCCGTGTTTCAAACTGGTTCGGGTGGCTGCATGACTTAGTCCCGACCGACGAAAAGGTTATTAGGTCATTCCTACGTTTGTTATGAATGAAATGCTCCAAGGCTACATGTCGGATTCGAGGTTTGCGTTCTAGAGCGGTTTGATAGCCATAGCGTTCTAAAAAACGGATAGTGTCACACTCAGTAGCACGCACTCTTTTGGCTTAATCCTCTCGGTCTCCCAGATGACTCCTTAGTAAGGGTACTGAAGGACGTGGAGAGGCCAGACCGCCAGACCTTCCCTAATAGTAGTAGATTTTTTAAGACTGCGAGGAACCTTTCTTTGGCGATGGCGAGTCGGAAGGTGGTGCGGCGAATGGCGGCGGTGGTGGCGGTGTGGATGGGGCTTGCAGGCGTGCTGGCGGGGCTGGTGGCGTGGAGGGTGCAGAAGGGATTCGAGGACAATCGCAAAGCAGAGCTCGACACCTGGTGCGCCGGTCGCGCGCGCTCGCTGCAGCAGCAGTTCATGCTCACCGCCGACCACGTGCAGGTACACGGCCGACAGTGCAGGTACTATTACTAGGCTAGTTAGGCGAGAAATGTGTTAATTCGCCAATGTGCGACGACATCCAGCGTTCAATATTGGAACGAGTGATTCGCTTCAACGACGCGGACGCGTACGGCGCCGGGAATGGACGGAAGCGTTTCGTCCGTCCGTGTGCCGTGGCCCGGCGGCGCCCGACTTCCCTCAGTGTCGTCGGGCTTAGCGTCGTCGGCGTGTACAAACGCCGCGGAACGGTCACTAAGGCCGCATTCCGGGCTCGTAACAGCCTGTTACGAACAATTTTGGCCATCGCGCACCGACATCCCCTAATCCCCAAAAACTCTCTGGAGCTGGGAATCGCGAGGGGTCGCGCAGTGTCGGAAGGGGTCGTTCAAGTGGTCGCCTGTTACGAGGTGGGATGTTCGTAACAGTCCGGAATGCGGCCTAAACCGTCGGTGGGTCGTTCGCGCTCATCTGGGCTCGCCGCTCGTCCGCTCACACAAGCTGATCCGACTTTAGTACTAGGTCATCACCGATTCCGATTCTATCGTGCTCGCTATTCCGCAGCTGCATTCTCTGTTTCGAAAGCTCCATTCGAGTCTAGAGGCTGTTTCGTACTCTCTGGATCGCAGCGTCGCCGCGGCCGTCCAAGTGGACTGCATGCGGCGGGTGCGGCAGTAGCGAGTCTCGTGAGGAGCGAGTCTCGTGGGGAGCTAGTCAACGAGTCGGCGCTCTTTTGAGAATGGACGGCGTTGCCCACACGCAAAGGCAGGAAGTCGGCTGCGTGGCGCGAAAGGGTCAGCGGCTGTAACGATGATTGGTCAGAATTGAGGGCGAAGGTCGCAAGGGCCGGATTCGGAACGGTCGTTGGCGGTGAAGGGGAGACGGGTGGGGAAAGGAATGTGGTCGTACGTAACTGTGTAACCCCCTGCGGGTACCGAGTGCTAAAATTGCTGGCCGTGTGCTGTGTGCGTGTGTGAGTGAGCGGCGGACTGTGTGAGCGGCGTTTCGCCCTACGATGAACGGACGTGCCCACCCATGCGCCCCCATACACCCATCAGGTGCTGGCGGGGCTGGCGACGGTGTTTGGCGGCGTGAGGACGAACCCCTGGGCGGTGGGCAGCTGTCTCACGCAGCGCCACTTCGTGCACCTCGTGGAGCGCACCGTGGCGGCACAGCCATGGGTGCATGCGGTGGGGTACATGGCCGTCATCAACGGATCTGACAGGTCCGTTCATATCCCTCCACCCACTCCCTCCCCCCAGCCCCCCCCCCCCCCCCCCCGGCCCCCCTCTTTCACCCCGCCTTCCTCCCCCCCTCTCTTTTACCTTTTATCCTCCCCCTATCCCCCTCACCCCTTCCCCCCCCCCGCTTTCTCCCCTCACTTCAAATTCCCACCCCCCTCCCTCTCTCCCACCATCCATTCCTCTGTCTCACATCCAAGGCAGACTCACGGTCGTGCAGCCGTGCAATGAAAAGAAAAGAACGACGCCTTGTTTCTGTGTAGGTTTGTGTGGAGTGGCGTGCGTCAGTAGCAATTTCAGCAGTCCTCGGTTCTCTCTTTATACCCTCGTCCCGTCCACCTCAGCTGCTTGACAAGCATAAGGCTATCCTCCTTCTCCTCATTCTCCTCCTCGTTTCCTCGCCCCCTCTCCTCTCTCCCCTCTCTCCCGCCTTCACTCCCTGCAGGGCGGCCTTTGAGCGGAAGGCGCAGTGCAAGCTGTTGGACATTCTGGGCAAGCCAGCCCCGGAGGCGGATTGGTACATGAACTCGCGCGTGTGGTTCCAGGAGAACCCGCCCATGCCGCTGCTCAAGATGACGTCCACGTGTGTCAACGTGCGCACGCACCCCTCGTACGGCCCCGGGCTCTCCCGCATGTACCAACTGCCCACCAACCAGCTCAACATGCCCTATGTGCTGGATAATGGCGAGGCTGGCATGGGTGAGTGTGGATGAGGGGCGACGGTGAGTGTGAGGGGAGTGGGTGAGGGTGAGGAGCGTGGGTGAGGGCGAGGGGCGTGGGTGTGAGTGTTAGCACATCTGGTAGCATGGTAGGCTACTGCGACTGTACCCTACTTGTGGTATGTGCTCACATGCACACACACAACCACCCCTCGCACGCACGCACGCACGCACGCACGCACGCACGCACGCACGCACGCACGCACGCACGCACACACGCACGCACGCATGCACGCACGCACACACTCACACACATGCACACACACATGCACACCCACCCACACGCGCCCCTGCACATCGCCGGTCCGCGAGCGGTCGCGCGGATCGGTGGGCGAAATGGTGGGTCGGTCTATCCGATTTGAATTAGATATTCGGCCCGCCCCGCCCTCCCTCCTTCGGGTCACAGCTGGCTAACCCCTCTAAGCCTGTAAGCCCGTACCCGCCTCAGTCGAGCAAAGTCGGGTCGGGTTGACATGTCTACCCCCGCACGAACGCATGCACCAAAACCCTAAATTACACACAAGTGTAGTGAGAACAAGCTCTGATCCAGCTGATTTAGAAGGTTGCCGCGCGCAACTTGGTTCCGTGCCCATTGGACCGCGGCGGGCCGGTTCAGGCCGGGCGGGTTACTCTCCAGAAAATCTGGCCTGGACCATCCTTAAGTCGGGCCAGGCCGGCCCTCGGCTCGACCTGTGCTCATGCCTATCCCAGTCCCTATGTGCTTCCCTGCTCCCCATCCCATTCTCTTACTTCTCTATCCATCACGCCCTCACCCACCCTCTTCGTCCGTGTTCTGCTCCCCCTTTCCCCCCAACCTCCTTTTTCTCCCTTCCACTGTGCGGCCAGGCATGGGCTTTCCAATCTTCAGGGACGGAGTCACGACATCCTCGCCGCTGGAGGAGAGGCGGGCAGCGCTGGTGGGGCTGATAGCGGCGTCCATCGACTTCAAGAGCCTCGCCGCCTTCATCATCAGCGAAGTGCTCCGCCAAGGTGCCCCCTGCTCCTCCCCTCCGCCAAGGTGCCTCCCCTCTACCAAGGTGTCCCGATGCTGCTCTCTCCCTTCTGCCAAGGTGCACCCATACTGCTCCCCTCACATGCTTGCTGCAGAGTTTTGTTCACATATACAATCATACCGCCATGCTCCAACCAAAAAGCAGAGTTTCCCCCTTTTGCTGCTGCAGGCGTGGAGTATTCTCTTGAGGTCTATGACGTCACCCCCACGGATTTCCTCCCCAACTCCTCCACCCCGCTGGGGCCGCGCCTGCTGTACGGGGTGGGCGACTTGCCTGAAGGTGACCCCATGCAAGTGGCCAAGCTTATTCCGCCTTCCAACCAAACCATGCTGCAGCCACACCGCCACAAGTCCGTGCAGCAGATCAACCTCACAGACACATCGAGATCGTACCAGCTCTGGTGCCGGTGAGTTGCCCCGAGGAGTAGATCCGCTTGTCCCTTCCGTCTTGTCGTTTTCCCTCCCTCCACCTAAGTTGGACTTGACACCCTGGGCCCTTAGCGTCGTCAAGCGTGTCAAAACTCGAGACGCTCGACCCTGGGTGCTTTGAGATAAAAGTATCGGCTCACGCGGTAGATATATCTGTTTGCACGTACGAGCTCTAAACCCCCAACCCTCAACCCAACCCGGTCGGACCTGTGCTCACGCCTAAACCCAACCCAACCTCTGTCAATATTGGTTCCGACATAAGCCAGATTCTTGCCATCGTAAAGTTGCGGATATGGTTGCGCAAGTTCTAATTGTCGGACAATCATCAGCCCGTTCCCCTAGTTTGTTTGCTTGCACGTATTTTTTTTCTTGCGTGCTCGCCCAAGCAGCCTATCATTTTTGGTTTCTCGAATCTGAAGTCCAACGTTTTGACGCTGGCAACCAAGACGTTGGACGCGCCAGTTCCAACATATCCCACCGCTACATCACATCACAGCAATATCCACCGTTCCTCACCAATGCACTCTTCCGCTCTCAGCTTCAGTGGCGCGGACACGGTCGTGAGCTGGACAACTGTCCTGCTGGCGGTGGTGATCGTGGTGGTGGCGGCGCTGCTGGCGGGCATTGGGGTGAGTGTGGCGTGCAACACACGCAGCGTGCACGAGAAGGTGACGGCACTGGCGGTGCTCAAGGAGAGAACTCAGGCGGCGGAGCGCAACAAGAGTGCCTTCATCGCCAACACCGCGCATGAGCTGCGCACCCCCATCATCGGTCTCAAGGGTGCGTTGGCAGGAATGGCCAAATGGTGCGAGTGGTTTTTGAAGGGCATAGGGCGAAGCATGTGTTGTTGATGTCAGCATTGGGTACAACCCTTCATGAGCCGTTTCCAAGCATGCAAGGTCTAGCAGTTGCTGTGCATGGAGTCAATGTCTACAGGTGAAATTTTGATCGAATTGAAGACTGCATGGGCAATATTGAGACCACTCATAGTGCTGATAAGCAGGACGCATTGTGAATGAGCACATTCAGTGCATGCGCCTTCTATGCTTGCACTTTCTTATGTGCGCATGCCTGGGTGTGCAAATGTGCCCGTGTCTGTTCATTGCTGCATTGGACCGTCAATGGCATCATCAATAAGCGCATCAGTCAACTCAACTTCGTTGACGTTGCAGGCTCTGAGAGGTACTTATTCCATTCCTACTGTGTCTTGGCCTCGCATTCACGAATCATAATGATGAGTTAGGAAACATGCATGACGTCTGACGTCTATCCTGCCCGGCACTTGCATTGTAGCATTGTATCAAGTACGGGGCATGATAGACGTCATGCGTGCTATCTCATCATTATTCTTCGTGAATGCGAAGTCAAGACACACTAGAAGCGAAATAAGTGCCTCTCAGAGCCATTGAGGTCAACGAAGTTGAGTTGACTGATGCGCTTATTGCTGATGCCATTGACGGTCCACTGCAGCAATGAACAAACACGGGCACATTTGCACACCCAGGCATGCGCACATAAGAAAGTGTGCAAGCATGGAAGGCACATGCACAGAATGTGCTCACTCACAATGCGCCCTGCTATCAGCACAATGAGTGCTCTCAATATTGTCGCGAAGTGTTGAGCTTGATCAAAATTTTGCCTTTGGAAATTAAAGCCCACCCTTCTTGCAATTCATGAGCCATGTCGGATCATGCAAGCAGCAGGCAGTCGGTGTCGTGGTTTTTTAGCAAGGAGTCTCACTATTGTGGCACAGTGGAAGGGATGGTTGGTGTGGTGCTGTGCGGTGTATACGTGCAAAGCAAAGACTTATAGTACGGTGTGGTTCGGTGCCTGTGACTCTTTTCATGGTAACCATGGAATGGATGAAGCAATGTTGTGCCTTCCCCCTCCCCCCACTTTCCCCACAGGCATGTTGGAGGAGCTGGCGGAGGGGGAGGTGGACGGGCGGCAGAGGGAGGACGTGGGGACGGCGGTGGGCGAGGTGGAGCGCATCGTGGCGCTCATCAACGTCGTGCTCGACGTCTCCAAGGCCGAGGCCGGCCGCCTCCACATGGAGACACTGCCCTTCCACACGCGCTCCTGGCTCAAGGAGGCGCTGCACTCCCATGCCTGCGCCGCCCACGCGCGCAACCTCACCTGTAATCAACTTCCTCACCTGTAATCATCTTCCTCACCTGTAATCAACTTCCTCACCTGTAATCATCTTCCTCACCTGTAATCATCTTCCTCACCTGTAATCAACTTCCTCACCTGTAATCAACTTCCTCACCTGTAATCATCTTCCTCACCTCCATTTTCGGTCCCTCCCAGCTGTGCCCCTTCCTCTGGTGCTAGAAAGCAATCCATCACGCATCTCACAAGCAAGCGTCGTGTGCTTCATTTTGTAACCTCTGTACCAATTGTTTGTGCGTGTGCCCGTGCCCAGTCACATGCCGTGTGGATACGAGTGTGCCCGAGGTTCTGGAGGGGGACTACATGCGCCTGCAGCAAGTGGTGGACAGCATCGTGGGTGAGTGTGCTCACGACTACATGCACCAGCATCGTGGGTGAGTGTGCCCACGACTACATGCACCAGCATCGTGGGCTGAACGGGATGTTTGTGTGCATTGCATCTTGATAAACCTACATTACGTGTTACACTTCTTTTTTGTTTTCTTACAAATGCTACCTACTGCAGACAACGCCATCAAGTTCACGGCCAGCGGAGCCGTGTGTGTGCGGCTGCAGCGCCTTCCCCCCGACACCCACATCCCCACCCACCTGCTCTCCCTCGGCTGCCTCGTTGCCGAATCTACCCCCGGCTGCTCCTCGCCTGCTGCTGCTGCTGATGCTGCAAGTGTGGAGCAGGCAGCAGGGCCTATGTCACGGAGGGAGCAGGTGGAGCAGCGCGGGCTGCTGTGGGCAGTGATGGGAAACTGGGACCCGCCGCTGCGCCATCAGCTGTCTTCACTCAGCGCCCGCTTCTCCATGAGCCCCTGGCGCACACCCCTGGGCGAGGGGGGGAGACGGGGGGAGGGGGAGGGGGACGGGGAACGGGAGGGGAAGGGGGATGGGGAAGAGGGGGCGGAGGGGAATGGAGAGGGGGAGGGGCAAGGGGAGGAAGGATGTAATTCTACAGAACACAAGCGCAGGGAAGGTGAGGGGGCTGCAGAACAAGGGAGAGGTGAGGGGGGGGGCGCAGCAGTGCGGGCAGTAGGTGGTAGGGATACAGCAGGGGGTTCACGTGGTGTGCAGCAAGGGCGGGAGGAGAGTGGTGGGAGGGAAAAGGAAGGGGAGGGTGGCGCTGGTTGGAGAGGAGGGGAGGGGGCTTCATTGATGCACGACAAAGGGGAGGGGACAAAGGGCTTGATTAGAGCGGGCCCTTGTGCTGGTGCCAGTGCAGGGGATGCGCGCGAAGGGGGTGCACGTGAGGGGGAGACAAGTGGGAGGGGAGATTGTGGAGTGGGTGGCACATGTGAAGCAGGGAGTGCAGCAGCAGCAGCAGCAGCAGGTGGCGGCGACAGCACGGGCATATGGAGGGATGCAGTAAGGAGGTGGTGGCAGGGGCCTGTTGAAGAGGAGAGCCCGGTGCCTTTGGGGGATGCTGAGAGGCGGTGTGTGGTGCTGCTGACATGTGAGGACACGGGGTGTGGCATCGCAGAGGAGGAGCAGCGTGACGTGTTTCAGGCGTTCATGCAGGTGAGTCGTTACGAAGTGGTCCAGTTCGTTGCAAATGGCCCAATGCTGCTCAAGCTGGTCCAGTTCGTTGCAAATGGCCCAATGCTGCTCAAGCTGGTCCAGTTCGTTGCAAATGGCCCAATGCTGCTCAAGCTGGCCCAGTTCGTTGCAAATGGCCCAATGCTGCTCAAGCTGGCCCAGTTCGTTGCAAATGGCCCAATGCTGCTCAAGCTGGCCCAGTTCGTTGCAAATGGCCCAATGCTGCTCAAGCTGGCCCAGTTCGTTGCAAATGGCCCAATGCTGCTCAAGCTGGCCCAGTTCGTTGCAAATGGCCCAATGCTGCTCAAGCTGGCCCAGTTCGTTGCAAATGGCCCAATGCTGCTCAAGCCGGTTCGGTTCGTCACGGACCGAACCAGGGTCCGGTTCTGCCAACCTGCCACGTGGGCCAAGGTGGTTGCCAGCGTTGATGTGTTGGGCAGCACACTGAAGCTGGCTGCCACTGCATTTGCTGTTTGTGGCTTGAACCACCCTGCAATGTTTATTTCACTTTGGTTTGGGACTCAATGTACACCCTACACTGGAGGGCATGTGAAGCAAGTATCTGATGGAGGATGCAAACCCCTGACCTTTATGAGTCTGGTGGCACCGCACAGCTGTCTTGATGCATGCATCATCCACTGCTGCTTCGTCACCAGTGCGCCTCTCTCCACCACACCAACCCCAACAGGCACACCAGAAGAGACATGCGCATGGCGGCAGCGGCATGAGCCTTCACTTGTCTCGCCAGCTGGTGAGTCTGGTTGCTCAGCTTCCATCGATGGAGTAGAGAGGACATGGACAGTCAGAGATGTGAACTGTTTAAGATCCTAGAAGTGCAGAATGACAGGTTCTGAGCGGTGAAGGTGGAAATACGCAAGATGCTCTTTGATTCCCTTCTCCCTTACCTACCCTTTTCCCTCTTTCCATGATTTTTTTTTTTGGTATACTTCGTCAAGTGTCGCATCTCAAGCGTGCCCCTTGTGCATCTCAAGCGTGCCCCTTGTCCATCTCAAGCGTGCCCCTTGTGTGCAAAGCTCAGTTTGTCTGCTTCGTCTACCCCCTCCACTGTCACAGGTGTCTCTCTTAGGCGGCAGCATGGGTCTGATCAGCACAGAGGGCTTCGGCACCACTCTGCATGTCGCTGTGCCCCTTGCTGCTACAGCATCTCCTCCACCTCCTGCTACTTCCCCTGCTTCTTCCCCTGCTGCTCATCCCACTACTTACTCTGCCCCATCTGCTGCTGCTAGTGGTGCTGACGGGGGGGCCGAGCGCAGCCCCGTTGCGAGAGTGGGCAACAGAAGCTGGAGTGCCAGCGAGGGGCTGGGATGTGGAAAGGCGGAGGGCTCAAGTGTGGTGGAGAGGACGGGTGAGAAGTTGGTGAGCGCCAAGGACGCTCTTAAGGAGATGCTTCACGGCATGGCCATCCTGGTGAGATGGAGCAATGGCTGTGCTGGTGAGATGCAATGAAGGGCACGTTGTGTAACTACACTTGTATCCCCTCTCCCGCTCCCTTTTATCCCCTCTCCCTCTCCCTTGTATCCCCTCTCTTATCCCCTCTCCCTCTCCCGCACCATCCATTCGTTGTCACCCCCTCTCCAACCTCCACTCCTCTCTGCCTCTATCCACCAGGTGGTGGACGACAACGTCATCAACCGTCCATCCTTTCTCATCCCGCTGCAACCCCCCTGCATGCCCCTCCCTGCATGCCCCCCCCTGCATGCCCCCCCCTGCATGCCCCTCCCTGCATGCCCCTCCCTCACCCAGGTGGTGGACGACAACTTGATCAACCGTCCCTCCGTTCTCATAAACCCCGTATCTTCTCCTTGTAACTCCCCGCACTGGCAGGTGGTGGACGACAACTTGATCAACCATTCTCAACCCTCTGCACCCCTTTATACCCCCTGTAATGGCCAGGTGGTGGACGACAACTTGATCAACCATTCTCAACCCTCCGCACCCCTTTATACCCCCTGTGCTGGCCAGGTGGTGGACGACAACTTGATCAACCGGCGGGTGGCAGCGAGCACGCTGGCGCGGTACGGGGCGGAGGTGGCGCTGGCAGAGTCGGGCGAGGCGGCGCTGCGCCTGCTGCAGGCGCGCCACTCCTTCCGCCTCGTGCTCATGGACCTCCACATGCCGGGCCTTGACGGCTTTCAGACTACCGCCCGCCTGCGCGCCTTTGAGGCCGCCACTCAGATGGCTCGGGAAGAACAGGGAGAACAGGGGTTGCAGCGCATGCCAGTGGTGGTGGAGAGTGGGGCAGAGGGCGGGGACGGGGAGGTGGGCTGGCAGCCGCAGCAGCGCGTTCATGTGGTGGCCATGTCAGCAGATGTGGACAGCACTGTTGCTGCCCTTGCCACAGAGGCTGGCATGGATGGTGCCGTGCAGAAGCCACTCAATGAGAGAGTGCTGCTGCAGGTGCTCTCAACATTGTTTTTGAAGAGACGGAGGTACAGAACCCACTCAATGTACTAACACTGTTAATCCATGAATGTAACCCCCCCACCCCCCCCCCCCCCCCCCCCCCCCCCCCCCCCCTTCCTTCCCCCAAGACGGGCATATGCACCACTAGTTACTACGCATCTCTGTCAGAATAGTAGCTAGAGGGTGAGATTAGGAGCCATCCTAGGGTTTAGGCTAGGCATGACTATCGAGAGAATTGGAGCAAGAAAAAGGAGTTTCACTATAGAGAGTGAAGTGCAAATAGGGAATGGGGGGGGTGCACCACCCAAACAAGAAGCATATAACTACACTAGGATTTACTGTAGGTAGGTATATTAATGTATACAAACACATTTCAACACACCCCCTAGTTGCCTACAGTGAGAACCATGTGCAACAGCACCCCTTGAAGGGGTACACCAGGCGCAGCGGAGGAAGGAGGGACCATGAGAGGAGAGGAGGTGGTGAGTGGCGGCTGAAGCTGCTGGCACACGGGCAACGAAGCAACTGGCACACGGGCAACTGGAGTAACTGGCTCCACGGCTAGACGAGCGGTTGGAGCCAGGGCCTATTTTATCAGTGTAAATCACACAGCTATACTAATGAGAAGGGTGAAATTTAGGGCCTGCACTGATGTGTTTGGGTAATTTTTTTTAAACTTAATGTTACACTGATTTGACAGTGAAACGATTTAGGCCATACTGATGCTCTGGGGTAAAATTTCCCTTAGCGAAGATTACCCTTAAGGGCGTACAGGGCACCATTCCCGAAATCTGTCGGAGCGTGATTTCCGTCAATCACGCAAGTACCGAAGCGCCCTTCCCTGCAGTATATGCATTGGCAGCAGTCATGTGTCTAATTGGTCACTTTTTTATGTTTCGGTATCCTGCACGCCAAGGAAAGGAATCTTGGCATCACGTACATTGATGCTGCCTGAACTTAGTCAAATCCCAGACCACATTCATACTGTTGGTGGCATAGATGCAAGCCGCGTCACCCAACAAAGCGACCTGATGCTTTGCCGTGCTGATTCAGCAACCTCAGCAAAGTGGGTCAAGCAGTTTCGCAACACTCGGCCATTCCTCCAGCCAACTCCAAAAACCACTGTTTTTATTGCCACTCTGTCTAGCATCCATACGTTCTCCACCCCGTAGCCATGGCAGCGCCTAGCGACGATGACGCTGACGATGCCGATGGCGACCCCTCTTGTAGCCACGGTCCGAGAACGGGCCTTGATTTCTTACGAGGCCCAGTCTCAGAACCTGCACCCCGTCCTTTGCCCGAGCCTTCTGATGAAAGTGAGGGATGGAGGTACCCTGCGCGCAAAGCGGCCCAAAAATCACCACCGCACAAGCCTCAAGCTGAGTGTGATGACGCTGGATGACAGCGTCCGGAACGTGATGAGGCGGACCCCGTCGTGCACGACTTCGTTGACTCGACGGAAATCGTCTCTGAAATCCCGGAGTCTTCTAACTCCGTGACGCTGAAAAAACGCCGCTACACGCACTCTACTCTTGGTTACGGCGGCGGCTCGCCTCTCGTGAAACCTGCTCCTCCGCCACCTCCCGTTGTGACGCCATCACCGTCACCGCTGAAGCAGACTCCGGCCGAACGCGCGGAAGCAAAGTTCCTGGAAGCACAGAGGAATTACATCACCAAATGGCTGCCGCAATTTGATTGGTTATTGCTTGACAAGGGTGATGATGGTCTGCCTTGTTTGCGGTGCAGCGTGTGCAGCGAGGGGGCCCAGGAGTAGAAGGAGTAAACCCCAGAGCCGCAAGTGTAGTCCTCAGTGTGTCGTGCCACTCGCGAGGCGCCTGGCGGAGACCGTAGACTGGCCGCCGGAGGCTCCACTGGTTACCTGCAGGAAACGACCCAGTGAAGCCAGGTGGGCGGCGCAGCCTGATAGAATATTGAACGAATGAATGACTGAACTAGAAAGCAGGTGGGTACAAGTAGCAAACCTAAAAGTGTTGTACCCTATAAGAACGACCCCACTACAGCCTAAACAGACTATAGCATATAAGTTTGACACACCCCCATAGGCAAAGTGGGGGAGAACAAGAGGTCACAAGACTAGTCAAGAAAGGCAAAGCAAGCTCAGGGTGGATCACAACGTCACCACACAGTCTTAGCACAAGCAAATGGCCACAAGGCCAGTTCACATGCAGAGTTATATAAAGGAAAACAACAATACAGTGAACACAACCTAGCAAGTGTAAGCATGCAGGTATATGTATAGAGATCACAGTACAAGCAGAGTCAAGAAGTAAGCAAGTGAGGCACAGTAGGTACAAGGCCTAGAACAGTACAGAAACGCTGATGATCACAAGGCTGAAGTGCCTTGGTGAAAACATCAGCAGTGTTGGCCTGAGAGGCCACGTAAGCAAGACAAAGCTGACCACGCTGCTGCAACTCTCGAGCAAGGAAGTAGCGCAGAGCAATGTGCTTCGTTCTGTGCTCCAGTTTGTGCTCCTGACACAAGGCAAGCATGGCCTTGTTGTCGACGTACAGAACTGGAGGAGAACGAGGCGCCTCTCCCAAGTCGGTCAGCAGGTAAGTGAGCCAGCGTAGCTCCTGTGCAGCCATGGCCCCAGCGTAGATCTCAGCCTCACAACTGGAGCTGAGAACAGAAGAAGAGCGGGTAGACCGCCAAGAGACAGAACCGGAGCCAAGACTGAAGGTGTAACCCTGTGACGACCGCTGCGTAGCCAAGTCGTCAACCCAGGAAGCGTCTGCGTGACCAGTGAGGACAACTCGAGCCCGTCCTCCAAGCACGAGCCCCATGCCCGACGTACTGCACAAGTAGCGCAACACCCTCTTCGCAGCATCCCAGTGCACCTTTCGGTGCCTACCGGGAGCCACGTAGCGAGCCAGAAGGCTGAGAGGGTATGCGAGGTCAGGTCGTGTGCAAGTCATCAGGTACATGAGGCAGCCCACAAGCTCTGGATACGGGCCACTCGGCTCTACGGACTCGTCCGAAGGTGGAGCTGAGAGCGAGTGACCGGTAGGCAGAGGAGTGGACTATGGCGAGGAGTACGTGAAGCTGAAGCGCTGAAGGACCTGTTGCACCATGTGTGACTGAGTCAAGGTAATGGTGCGCTGTGCTCTGTCCCGGGTGATCCGCAAGCCAAGATAGCTTGTCAACTCACCCAGGTCTGTGCACGTGTGTCTCTTCTGCAGCTCAGACTTCACGTGGGCGAGTGCCTCTGTGTCAGCAGTAGCAAAGACGAGGTCGTCTACGTACACGAGAACGTAGAACGGCGGCAGAGTGGTGTCAGTGCGTAAAAACAGCGAAGGGTCAGCAGTGGAAGGAGAAAAACCAAGAGCAGCAAGAGTCGTCCTCAGTGTGTTGTGCCACTCACGGGGTGCCTGGCGGAGACCGTAGACTGGCCGCCGGAGGCTCCACTGGGTACCAGCAGGAAACGACCCAGTGAAGCCAAGTGGGCGGTGCAGCCAGATCTCCTCGTGCAGGCTGCCTTGTAGGAAGGCTGTGCTGAAGTCAAGCGAGTGGAGCTCGTAGTCACGCTGAGCAGCTACGTGCAGCAGTACCCAAAGAGTGGTCATCTTCGGGGTAGGGGAGAAGGTCGGGAAGAAGTCAACTCCCTGTCGCTGACTGAAGCCACGTGCAACGTAACGCGCCTTGAAGACAGGCGGAGAACCCGGTGGCCGCTTCACCCTGAAAATCCACATGCCACTGACGATGTTCGCCCCAGGCGGGGGAACCTCGTCGACGTAGGTGCCTGTGGACTTCCAGGAAGCCATCTCGGCGTCCATAGTTGCCTGCCATTGAGAGGAGTAGGGACCCTCTATCGCCTCTGCATAAGAGCGCGGGGTCGGGATGTCTGGTGCATTTGGGTCTCCCTCAGGGGCAAGCAGCATGAACACGAGATGAGGTACAGCAGCGGCAAAGCACTCAAACTCCTCCTGTCTGTCCTCAAGAACGTCCGTGGCAAGAGCACACTCACCCCCGACGGACGGAGGACAGACAGACGCAGACGCAGACTCAGCAACAAGACTAGTGGCGAAGTCTAGGCGACAGGCTGCAGCAAAGTCAACAAGCTCAGCAACGAGAGCAGACGCAGCAGTGGACTCAAACAAAGGGTCAGTGACAGTAGTGGCCAAAAAGCGCGTGACAGTAGGACAAGCAGCACGAAGAGAGTCAGACTCCGGGTCCGGACCGTCAGGAAGGGAGGACGCAGGAGGAGACGGCAGAGGGGCACACTGTGGAGCAGAGGAAGGACGCATAGTCATAGAGTGAGTGCCAAGGACAGGAGGAGGACGCGGACGCGAAACACGACGACCAACACGAACAGTGCGGACAGACGACTCAGAACGAGATTCAGGTGACTCAGGACGAGACGCAGGCGACACAGGACGCGACTCAGGCTCACGACACTCCGTAAGACCTCTAGTCGGTCCAGAGTAAGGAGAAGGACCAGGCAGGGGAGAGGCCGGCTGTAACTGCGACTCTGACTGGACAGGCGGTGGACTCAGTAAAGGAGGAGTAGGACCAGGAGAAGGCTGTAGACCAAGAACCTGCTGAAGGAGCGGAATGTAGTACGGCCGCGGCCGCGCAGCGCCTCCAGAAACAGCAGAGACAGCACCAGTACCCTCAGCTCCAGCTACAACTCCCTCAGCACCACCAGCTCCAGTACCTGCAGCACCAACGCCTACAGTACCACCAGCCCCAGCAGCTCCAGTACGAGCACCTCCAGGACCAGCGGCTCCAGCACCAGCAGCACCTCCAGCAGCACCAGCACCAGCAGCACCAGCAGCACCTCCAGTAGCTCCAGCACCAGCAGCGCCTCCAGCAGCTCCAGCACCAGCAGCACCTCCAGCAGCTCCAGCACCAGCAACACCTCCAATAGCTCCAGCACCAGAAGCACCTCCAATAGCTCCAGCACCAGCAGCACCTCCAGCAGCTCCAGCACCAGCAGCACGGCGACAGCGCCGAGCGTACCACTCACGAAGCCGCTGCGGAGAGAGGGGCTCCCGTCGCAATGGGACACCCAGAGAACCTCCAGACTCAGCACACGCAGGCTCAGCACCCCAAGACGCAGCACCCCCAGGCTCCACACGCTCGGGCTCAGCACCCCCAGACTCCACACCCCCAGTCCCCGCACCCGCTGGCTCAGCACCCCTAGCAGCACCC